CCCCCCCCCCCCTCCTTGTCATATTAAATGAACTTTCCCTTAGTTACAATAAAAACCTGTTTTTTTTTATTAAGAATCTAGTGGACATAGGCAAACTTGCGAAAGCCGGCACGAGGGCAGCTACCATAGCTGGGAGTGAAGGTGCTGAAGCAGTTCTGAGAACCATTGGAATAGCAGGCAACGCTGCTCGCATTGGTGGGTTCGCTATAAGTGCAGTATTGTTGCCTGTTGATATTTATACTTTAGTGACATCAGCGATGAAGATTAAATCTCATGGTGTAGACGAACCAGAAGAAGTAAGGAAGCTTAAAGAACTGGCAGCTGAACTGGAAAGAGAAATGAACGACATGCTAGAAGTTGTATACGAATTGAACAGCGCTCACATGGAAAAAGATTGTGTTGATGTTACTAGCCAGTGCGGTTTCGCTGTCTGAGTCTAGCGTTTAAGCATTCTATTTGATATCCAATCGAGTCGTTTCCTATAGCATGAAGTATACTCTGTCATATACTTGAGCTCAGTTCATCTTATGATTTACAACTGTATAGAACTAAGGCACACTAGAGAGACAAAATGCAAAGGGCTGTATGCGATCAACTATAGTAGTTGAACGGTACTCTATAATTTCCTTATCAGTTTAAGCCTAACTCTTGAAACCGTTACCGGCCATGCAGGCAAAAGGTACTGATTTCTTGACTGCATAATAGAACTTATCCATTGACAATTATTATACCTTGTAGAAACTAGTAGTAGAGGAGGGTTATGTTAAGTTCTCTAGTGTTAAGTGTTTATGTTAAGTTCTCTAGAACCGATAAAATGTATGCCTTTTTCACGAGAATCGGTGCCCAAATTTGGAACTCTATTCCTTATTCGATTAAAATACTTAAACGTTCGTCCTTTCGTAAAAAAATAAAGGAATTATTACTACATTTCTTGCGGTCAGAAGATGATTATGTCGAAGTCTCCCGTCTTATTAAGTAATTTAATACTTTAGGTTAGCCTCTCTTCGTAATCGTTATGTACTTGCCTTGTTTTATGTTAGTTTAAATTCTATTTACTGTATAGTAGTGTCTTCACTGTTATTTAGTCCATCTATATATAAATCTTGTTTTGTAATTTGTCTTCAGCTCCCCCCGCCTCGATTATTTCATAAGCTATTTGCAGGTGGGAAAGTAATGTAATTAGTTATTTTCCAATTTTCAATAAAATTTGTTGTTGTTTTGTTTTTTGAGGGATGTTTTACTCCGTTTTTTTGTGGATTTAATTAACTTTTTGAGTGGTATAAATTAATGCAGATGACGTTATGCATCTCATTAAGATAGGATGATGTCATAGTCTAAATTAATGTCGATGACGTCATGCATTTCATTAAGATAGGATGATGTCATAGTTTATTTGCAGCTGGCAAGGAAAAAGTGACGTCAGAATTTCCTAGAGTTGACGTCATCAAAAAATGTTGAGATCATAATCTATAAACAGAAAAGTGATTTTTATATAATTAGCTATTTGCTACAGTCTTCTGATTAGATATTGTTTGCTATAGTCTTCTGATTGGATATTGTAGAAACTTTTATGTGTTCAAAATAAAAGCGGGCAAATTTTGAACGTGTTATCTTTGCAGATTAAATTATTTTCACAAAAAATCGGTTATAAACAAAACCAAGACACAGAGGTTAAATGAAAAATCTTTATTTCAAAAGAAGGGAACAGGAGGTTAAGCGAATGCGAAATCGTACTAATTTTTCGAGCAAAACATGAAAAAGAGGTCGAAGCTCAGCGAAGCGAAAAAACGCCTATCAAGCAAAAATGTCAATCTTTGTTTACTTGACTCTGTAGAAAGTATTGCACAGGGTATAAAATTTCTATAGAAAACAACAGGTGGTTCTAAAGTACACCCTAATTCTTTTGGTTCATGAATAAACTCCATTCTAGTAACTAATAAGTGGAACGTCTATTTAAAAAAAAGATAGGAATAAGAGGTGCGATCGCCTAGCAACACATGTCTTCTTATTTAGCGCTAATAATCGGATAAATAAACAAAACACATGCACATACACAAACTGGAGCTGAAAAGTCTTTTTTGCTCACTATATCCAGTCCAATCCAGTCTCTGGTTACGTCGTATCCATTGAGGCTTTGATTCTAATTCACGCCTTTAATTTATCTTGTTATAAATATTAACCTATTTTTAAGGTAAATATATATCAGATTTTCAGTTATTTTAATCAAAATCGTACGTTTTATTACCTTGAGGCAATAACAGTTACGAAAAAACAACGAAATATCTTTACGGATTCCTTTTAGCCCTTTCGCTCCGGAAGCGCAAAAAAACCCTCGGTGCCGTGATCCACGTCTCATCTACCGATTGCGATTTTGCCGTCATCAGGTTAGTTGTGCAGGGTGAAGAGATCTTTCAAACCATACCAGAATGAGCACGATTCAGTCAAGGAGGCCGGCGAAAAAGGCTAAAAAAAATACGACCTTGATCTGAAAATTTCCGAGAAAATCTTGCCTTTTTTCCACTACCCACCTACCTTTCGTTTTATCTAATGCTACTGAAGACCCTAAAAGCTTTCGCAAAAACTTTACCCACAGAAATAAAGCCTACTAAATGCCCAGCAAGAAAAAAAAAATTAAGCAACAAAAGCGCAAGAAGAGGGGAGCAGAGATAGCGACTGCTTATCACTTTTAAAGCCATGCCCACTTCCGAACTTGGCAAAGTAATATTTTGCATCTGGATCAGAAGGCCGCTAAGTGTACGACCTGTAAACGGTTTTGTGGTAAGTTTTGGTTCTCTTTAGCAAGACAGTGACCAGAAAACCGCTCGGCTAGCTTCAAAACGAGTTTTCGATAAAATTTCCTGCGGCGAATGGGTTAACAATATTTTCAATACAATAGACTGCAAAACAGTCCATAGTTTTGCGTATTTAAGTACGCCTGAACAGTCAAACGGGCGTGTGGGACTCCGACGCTACACTAAAACGATTTTGCGAAAAACACCGACTACATGTTTTGCGGTCCGAGATGACGAAACAAGTTGAGAGCAAATGTAGGGGAAATTAGTAGTCACATGTAGTACAGGTTCCATGAGATGAAACTACAAGTCTTTGCGTATTCTTGAAGGCCGAAAGGTTTCCTATTTCTACGTTTCGATCAATTCAGACCCCCTCGTCAAATAAGAGAGGGGGTCTTGATTCCGATTTGTGAACAACTTTCACTTGCAATCATTGGATGACTGTAAAGTATTGTGTGGGAAATTTCAAGTTCTGAGTACACTCTACAGGCACTTGCGCTCAACGATAACAGTGACCGGGCCAGCTTCGTCATATTTTAGTTACTTTTCGGGTAGAGGGAAGCGAAGATTAGAAATACGTCTGCATTTAGTGGCTAACAAGTTGAGGAAGGTGTGCAAGGATGCCAAAATTGATCCTACGATCCATGCAGATACATGTTGTAACTTTTAATCGATTGGAGGGGAAATGATTTTGACCTCCTGTGCTAGTGTCATTCTGCATTCGTTGGACAATTCCTTGAAACATTGTGGATCTGCTTGATACGGCAATGTTGGCGTACAACTACTTGAAGATGTCCTCATCGCACTTCATGTGGGGTTGTAGGATATGAGCAAGGAGGACTGAGGTTGTCTGTGGACTTTCTAAAAGGCAAAATGTCTTGGTATGGGCGCGGCCGATTGGACTATCACCTTCTTAAGTTTATTGAATTGAGTTTCTTGGTTTCGCCAAGGGATTATTTTAATCCGTTATGCCAAACTGGCAGTGGGACTCCACCTCTGTAGGAATCATTTTGCTTATAGTTTTGGTTTGCGCGAGTTTTTTTCCAGGCATTTTGGCTTGCATGACCCCTCATTTTTTTATGTCCCCACTTCTGAAAGTCCGTCCCTTTCAATACGGCCTGATACACATGGATTTCTTTAATGAATCAAAAAACCAAATATATCTTTACCTATTGACATAAGTTTCAATACTTTGATTTTTTGTAATAGTGCTGATCCTGTGCTATGCAGAAAAAACCGCAGCTTTTATTTTAACACAATGACTCCTAGACACCAAATTTAATATATAAAGAAAAACCTGTAGAAAAGGTAGACTCTGTCATTAACGTTTCTACACGAATCCTTATTTTCTGTAGTTTGATTGTTTGCCTTGATTCGCCTCGTGTTTTCCATGAAATACGGTCCAACAATGGAATTCTTTTTGAAATACCATTTATCAATTCAAAAAAAACACTGGGTCATCGCTCCTTGGCAGTTCCGGCAGCCGTATGGAACAAATTGCCGAACAATATACGTAACGAAACTAATTTTTCAGCGGTAATTTTAGTAAATTTAAATCTTCGCTTAAGACTTATTTTATTCAATTTAACTTATAATTAGGATCTTAAATACATACTTTAGTTTTAATGCTATTAATGCATACATATACTACTTCACCCATATTTACGCGCCTGTGTAATTAATGTATATTTCATTTACACCTGTCCATTTTCTAAGTTAATTATTTTTATCGCGCATTTGATTATACTCATAGAGACATTTGCTCGCAATAAATTTTTAAATTATTATTATTATATTAAATTAGAAGCTACGTATGTAACTTCGAAAGGGCTCGTTATACAGCAAGCTGAATGGAAGATTAGTACCGATTTTATCCAAAATCGTAAGCAAATCAGTATTGATTTGTAAATAAACTTCCTTTGCAGTCACCAGATGATCAGTACATATTGTATTGGAAAATTTCAGTCGCGACTAAACACATTTGCGCTCAACGATAGCGGGACCAGCTTCTTCATATTCTCCCTTTGTAATCCACAGGGACTGGAAGGTGTCCAAGGATGCCAAAATTGATCCTCCGATCCATGCAGATAACTTGCGGTCAATTGGAGGAGCAATGATTTTGACCTTCTCTGCCGGTGCCAGGGAAGTGATTTCCTTCTGAATTCGCTCGGCAATTCCTTGAAACATTGTAGATCCACCAGTTAGGACAATGTTGGCGTACAGCTCCTTACGGATGTCCTCATCGCACTTCATGATTGAGTTGTACGTGGTCTCGTGGATACCCGCCGATTCCACTCCAAGAAAGGAAGGCTGGAACATGGCCTCGGGACATCGGCATCTCTCATTTCCGATGGTGATGACCCGACCATCAGGAAGTTCATACGTTTTCTGCAAGCTGGAATTGGATGCAGCGTTACTTATTTCTTGTCCGAAATCTAGAGCAACGTAGCACAGCTTCTCTTTGATGTCACGCATCAAATCGTCGTCAACAGAGGCGACGGAGTTATCTCGCTCAACCAGACACGTTTTGAGATAATCCGTAAGGCGCTCGCCAGCAATATCGAGACGACAGATGCTTTTAGTAATAGCAAAGCCATCGTAGATAGGAACAGCATGACTCACACCATAACCACACTCTACGATTGTACCATTTTTACGGCCTGATGCGTACAGCGCCAGCACAGGTGCCAAGGCTAAAAACATCGCGGGTGTATGGAAGGTTTCGAACATGATCTGACGAAAAACATTTGAGCTCAAGGTTTATTATCTTGCCTTGTACATGTTGTATGGACCTGTCCCGCATCTCTGTGAACAAAAACACCAACTAGACGTTTAGAGTGACGAAACACAATCATTTGGAGGAAATTCGCCCGTCCACCTGAGTCCCAGCCTGGGAGCAGGCTCTGCTGTGAGGGAAAAAGGCGGAAAACAAATCTGCGAGCGAAGCGAACTGAGCGGGAGTCTGGGGAGGGGAAAGGGCGCCGCCCTTTCTCCCTCCCCAGTCCACCGCTTGATTTTTCTTTTCTTTTTGCTGTTTCACCCCGTTTTTCGCTTTTGCCTCCCCCACCACTTCAGGGCCTGGTCCTAGACTAACTCGAGCCTCGACCTCGTTTCAGTGAATGTGCTCACTGGAGCTGAAAGTGGGAAAGGTCTATTCAACATTTACCTAAAGTCTCAGTCAGCTTCACTGTAAGCCTAACATATTACAAACCTGGACTGTACCTGGTTATGAATTTCTGCTCAAACGTAAACAAGGTAACCCTTTCAGATACCAGATCATTACAAGTTTCTGGGAGAGCCCACCCACCCTTCCCCTAGGGCCAACATTAACACTTAATTCTCACTTAGGGCAAAATGTTGGCTTAGGGGAGGGGTAGGTGGGCAGTTTCCTAGAAACGCATAATGATCCCAGATACTTTGCACAGAAAGAAGAAGTCTGCAGGCTGTTCATACACCTAAGCATTTTTGTTAACAACTGAGTGAGTTTAATGCAGTTCCTCTTGAGTCACTTCTTGCGATACTCAGGTGGATACTTAGTTCTAGCCTGGGAACAGCAGACGCATTTCCGGTCGTCGTCGAAGATAAGCGACGACCAGAAATGCGTCTGTTGTTCCCAGGCAAACTTAGTTCACGATCGTGAGGTTTTTTGCAATAACCTCTCCAACTGAAATGAAGCCTAGAAAATGACGATAAAAAAAAGACACAGGCGACAAAAGCGAAAGGTAAAGTAGAGGGGGTAGTAAAACTTTTTTAATCCAAAAGTAATCCTTTCCAAAGTCAGTAAAGGCTGCAACTTGGCATCAGGATTAAACGCCAAAGATTAGAAAAGCTTGATTTTTAAACAACGCTTTGGGCAGTTTCAGTTAATAATTTTTGGTTATGCAAAGCACTAGAACAAAGGAACTTTAAGTTCCAAAAACCAACAAATTCTGAACGTATAAACGCGGATGACCGCCACTGAAAGGTCCGTTTATTGGCTAGTCATGATCTTTGTAGGCGAGTAAAGGGAGCTGCATTTTCTGTGCCCCAATTTCAAATAGAGGCATGCCAGTTTTAATTAACATGGACTGACTGACTCACTAACTCTTGCCCGTGAATGCCGTCAGGCATATAGGGCAGCAACAAAGGATCGCCACTCCTGTCCGTTCTGGTCAAGCTTCTGAATGGTTCCTCACGTGTGCTGTAGGGTCTTGAGCTCCCCTTTCACAGTAGTGTCTCATCTCTCATGTCACTTGTGCCAGCTTTTCTGTTTCATACATTGTTCTCACGTTCCAGGACCCAATTCTGGTCTTGGTTTTGGCGCTCAAGACTTCCATCTTTCTGTCAGTGGCTTCCTCCCGGCTTCCACCACTGTCATTCATACGAGTATCTTCCGATGACTCTAGAAGCCCATTACACTCAGTAGCGTCGATTTCCTCTCTTACTGTTTCCGTAACAGGAGTGTTTTTACGGAACAGGATTGTTAGTCCTGTGTGCAACCCCCAACCTGGGGGACCAGTGGATCACGCTTCGTCAGGCCTCTACCCTTCGACCTGTCTGGCATGGGTGGCCCCACCAGGACACGAATCTCCCGCCAGCATAGCTCTAGGGGTCACTGAGACACGCAAGCCCACCGACCGCGACAAGGTGGCAGTCCTTCGGTAGGAACCTGGACCGAATTAGGCTCGATTTCTGCCGCTCTCTCGGTCCTCCCTGGGGGAGGAGCGTGGGCTCATTTCTCGAACAGCGGTGCGTTGGTAATCGAGTGGACGGATTTGCAAAGAAAGAAGTGGACTGTGGAGAGGATTTGGAAAACAAAGATTTGCAGTGAAGCACCATGGGTAATAAAATTTGGTTACCTATACATGCAAGAAATTCCTCCGTCCGTCCGCACATTCATGTTAGCGGATGCGAAATGTTACACTTACTACCAGGATCTCAGCATCCTCGGAGACCCAGGGGTAGTCAGTCGGTTCGGGAAAAAAGGCGGGACGAAAGTTTTCAAGTAAGGGCGGAAGAGCCCCTGGGTACCGACTCTCACCGGACCATTGCCAAAAATTCAAGCGGATGCCGGCTCCTGATTGGGCACAAAAAATGCTTTGTATTATTGTGCCCAATCGGCGAACAGTTTCTCCTGAGTTCTTTTCGTGAGTTCGTACACCACCACCGCTATTGTCTCGCCACACTTGCCCGGTTCGTTCACCAAGCTTGTGCGAACAAGGGAAACTTTTATTTTCTACCTTCCTAACCAGAAACAAAGGAACTACCGACGAGTTGAAAAAACGTTTGCGTTACTATCAGCAAGAGCAATTGAATTTGCCCCGAGGATATTCTGTTTTTGACGGATCACAATTAAGATGCGGCGGCGATGAGAAATTCAAATAAGTAATAGCTTGACAAGGCAAAACAACAACTTTGCACGTGCATCACGCTTTTTTGTACATTTCTTTGCCGTAAACTGCACGACTACCCGTGAAAATGCCGAATTTCACGTTTTGTGAAGGATATAAACAAGCAATAACAAAATTCATTCTCTTCATGAACTTTGATATGGTTCAGAAGAGTTCGCTTGCATTTGACAAAGTAAGCGAGTTGGACCAGATGGGGATTTTATATCAAACTGAAAGTTTCCTGATTGCGTGCATTTCTTTGGTGCACAAAGCAAAAACGGTAAACTTACTTCCGACAATAAGGCTAGCCCAATCGATTTTTGAAACGCAAATTTCCCTCCGTAGATAAGCCCCTCCGAATGTAGGCCCCTCCAAAAATAAGCCCCTCAAAAAGGGCCTTTGAAAAATATAAGCCCCGGGGCTTATTTTCAGAATTTTACGGTATGTGGTCTCCAACGCATGCAGCAGTTCTTCGTACTTTGTTGTCACGCAACGCTATTCCCCGTGGATTCCTTATTTCCTCGAATAAGCGCCCAGGCGCTTATTTCAAATTTCAACCATAGGAAAGGCAGGGCGCTTATTCTATAAACAAACTAGGGAATGGTCCAGTTGTTCCTGAAAAGTTTACAGCAATTACCAAGAGCGCGGGCAGTGGGATAAATATTAAAAGAGATATTTCATTAGCGCACATAAAGGAACACTGCAAGCGCGCACATGGATATAGAGATACTAGTAGTTTCCAGTGGAAAGTGAAGTGCTGCGAGTAAAACATGACATTTCAAATAATTTACATCAGTTGCAGTTTATTTCGATTGTTGATTTGACATTAACCGTGTCAAATACCTGTGCATGTAATGCTGCACGACACGAAGGCGATCGATAAAAGTCCGTGAGAATAAATCAGCGTATTATTTGTCTGAAACCTGTCCACGATAAAGCAGGGACCGCGGAAGGGGAGGGGTTGGTAAGGCCGCGGCCCCACCACTTTTTTGAGCCCCCGTCCCCACTTTTTGCGCTAAAAAGACTTGAAACAAGTTTTTTCCGTCTATATTCCGCTATGTTCTCTGTATTTTCTTTAATTTCGAACGCCAGGCATTTTGTGGGGCTCCTGTACTTTTCGCGGTAATTGTGCCCTAGGGCCGACTTGCCCCTTGATCAAACGCCATGCCTTGGCCACCCCTTCGCTTCGTTCGGCAGCGTGTTTTGTACTTACAGCTCCGGCAGAGTTCTTTATCAGTTTTATCAGACGAAATGAAGAAAATTACTAGCTTTTTCAAGTCAAACGAAGGTGAGTAGTTGTTTTGAGTTGATAAAAGTTATATATTTTGTCTTTCTCCTTTCGAATGAATGAAATATTCGATGGCAAGAAGAATTACATTACTTGAACAGTGAACGGCCATATTTAGAAATTATATGATTTTATTCCTTTTTTCGATTTTCAATATGAAAAATTATTTTCAATTGTCAGCCCTCCCACTTTTCACCTTGCTCCGCGGTCCCTGTAAAGTTAAGAGCACGCGAGCGTTGTAGCGAGTGAAAGAGTGAATAGCCTCCTATAAAACGTTTTACTACCAAGGGAAAACAAATCTTTTCACACTTTCTAGAAAAACTCTTAATAACTAGAGCAATTTATCAATTAAATAAATACAACAAAGCAAATACAAATTTAGCCAAAACACCGACTTCATTTTCCGTAGAGTTCCAGGAATTGCTTGAAATATTCTGAGAAACGTATCACTTCAATTCACGGGAATTTTGTACCTTCACTTGCATTCATACTCTTCGCTTGCAAAAACGTGGCTTTCTATACGGGCTTAAAGTTTTCCACAAAACACTTTCCACTTGTGTTCCGAGTCTGCGAACGAAAAGCCTCGATTTCGAAGGCCGTACGTGAAATGGAGGCAAATGCGGTGATAGAGCAGCTCATACATACATACATACATACATACATACACGCACGCATACATACATACATACATACATAATAATGTAGTCTAAGAGCTAGATTATTTGGTCCAATAGGGTAATATAAGTGAGGGTGTGTGTCCTAAAAAGCGGGTATGTATTTTAACATTTTTCTGTCCTGAAAAGGGTCAAGGTTTCCAACCCTCAGCGGCTCACCTACACCCACTCAGGTAGATTAAGGCCTGGGTCTAAGTCATTTATGATTTTTACCTACAGTTTCCAAAAACTATGGTTAAAGACATCCACAAGGGACGATATATGGTGAGGTAAAATAAACTTAAAAAGAAATTTAAATTATTTGGTCACGTGATCAAACACGCCCTCCATTGTTCGAAAATTGTAACCAACGATTCCCACCTCTTGCCAAACAAGTAGCTCCGGTTTTTCTGTATCAAAACATTGTCCCTACAAAGTGTCTACGAAATCAGCTTGGAATGGTTGGAAGCATTACAATTGGCAGGTGTGATTGGTGTTCACTGACTAGTGCCAGTCCTCCTCTAACTAAAATTATCGACAGGA